TTATACGTATTTCAAAGATATGCAAATTTTATCCGAAACTTGGTAATTATGAGAGTTAGGTTTTGTTTCCAAGAAAAAAATTCTAGTCCCTGAAATCTTTTTTTTGTTTTTTTTTTTTAAATTTGTAAAAAAAAATTAACTTAAAACAAACATTAGATTACTACTTCGAAACAACAGTTTTGGTATATGGATTACGACATTTACGGAGATAAGTTTACGATATATTACATTCCAAAATACTGTTCAAAAAGCTCAGAGTGTTGTTATAAAAAAAACATGACGTTCTTCTGTGGACGCAAACAAAAAAAAAAAAAAAAAAGAAATTCCATTTTAGCTGGGGTACCAGTGGTTGCGTTTATTTTCCTGTACCCAAACTAAACCGTGACTGTGTCGATATTAATTAGACAACAAGAGAGTCCGTTGTTTAATTCAATAAGCAATCGTTTTATTTCAAATGTGGTGTTCGCAAAAACTTATTTAAAATTAGAAGTTGTGGATTGTGAGTTATGTTGATTTTAAGGGTCCATTTCTAAATGTTGGGGATGTTTGCAAATTTACTGTAAAATCAACTTAAACAGAAAAAACAAGGTTATAAGTGCTTAACTAATTATAACTTAAAGTTGATTAGTTTAAGAGAAGTAAAAGTCAAAGTTCATTTTGCAAACACTTAAAAATAGATTAAAAATAGATTATGAGTAAAAAAAATATCATAATATAGGGTAAATAGCATAAAACCCGGAAAATATGCGCCAAATCACTATGTATTTTTTTTCTCGCGTAAAACCCCCTTGTGTTTTAACATTGCACGAAATTTCCTTTTCCGTTAAAAGTTAACGGCTTTAACTATAGAGGGGATTTTGTGCAAGTTTGTTGTAACATAGGGGGATTTGGTGCATATTTTTTACAATACAAGGGGATTTTATGGAAAAAATAATTTATTTGTTTAAATTTCATATTATTTTCTGAAATTAAGTTGAACACATTTATTCAGTTACAATATGAAAAATAAAAATTTAATAGGTGTGGTGAATGTATTTTAAAAAAAAATCAATTTTTATATGATATAATTTATTAGTATGAAGTTTGATTTTTTAAATTATATAATTATTGTATTAAAATTATTATTTAATTTTGTAATTTGTTTGTGATTAATTATATGTGAAAAGAACATAAATAGTTTGAGAATTCGTTCCAACTTCCATCTCGATCGAGTATTATTTTCTTAATTTTCATATTTTAAATTAATAGATATATTATACTTGATTTAAGAAAATAATTTAAATTTTAAATGAATAAATTAATTTTGCGTAGACCCTTCTTGTCTTGCAAATTAATCATGCACCAAATCCCCCTATGTTACACCAAACTTGCACAAAATGCCCTCTATAGTTAACGGTGTTAACTTTTAACGGAAAAGAGGATTTCGTGCAAAGTAAAATAAAACACAACGGAGTTTTACGCAAGAAAAAAAATAGATGGGGATTTGGTGCAAATTTTCCTAAACACAGGGAGGTTTTATGTTGTTTACCCTCATAATTTATTTATAAAAGTTTTTGCAAACACCACCAAAGTCTTTAGCCAAGTTGATTATGTGCCATCCTGTAACGCCTGTAATTCAAGCTATTGTAAGATGTAATTCCAATAGTTCTAGTAAAAGAAGCAACAAATTTGACGTTATAATCGTGAATGATTCCTCCAATGCCAGCTTGTCCTAGTTTGATCATGAAGCACAGTTAGTACATACGTTGAATGTATACCAATTAGGGTTCCATTGAAGTTGTAGATTTTGATAATTCGGTTTTTTCCGTTGCTCTTTATTACAGATTCTTTCTCAGATTCATTCGAAGCAAATTCGTTTGTTTTCAAATATAGCTTCGTTTATCGCTTTCCGAATTAGCCAAAATAAAGCGGCAACTTGTTCTTGCATGTTGTTGATGCTTTTAAGATTATAAAGGTAACTAAAGAAATCTAATTTTTGAACAACACAATATACGTAATTAAAATCGTTAGTTCTAGATTAATCCGATAATCTAATGTAGTTATCTGGATTTATTTTTAAAAAATTCCACATGAAAATAAATTACCATTGATCCATCCTAAAACTGCGCTGGCTCATTGGGTGGTTGTTGGTGGAAATATGCTTATAGAGCAACTGGGTCTGTTTGCACTGCAAAAAGAAAGCTATCGGACAGATGCCGGATTTAGCACTCAGACGGCCAAGTCAGTGGAGCAAGAGACAATTTTAAAGGTAGATTTTTAGCAGTGATGGTAAAAGATCAGATAGATGAACCTCCCTTTCTGCGCATGTGTGACCCTCTAATTAAAATACCTCGGCCTATGTCTTGCATGAATCCTGGATGAGTAGGTATACTCCGCCGCTCTTCCCTTCATCTCCCTATCTTTTTCGGATAACCCGAGTCATCATCATCCTCGAAACGGCTACAACCGCTCTTCCATGAGTAGTCTAAGCCGTAGGTCTCTCTACTTCCAGTGGTTTTTGGTCATTCGGGCATTAAATTCTGGTGTCAGAACATTTAATGTGCCGATAGGAGCAAAAGAATGATTGTCGGTCTTTTATTAATGCACCATTCCTTAGTTGTCATAGCCATTAATGCCTGTAGTGGGGCACTTGCGCTCCTTATCTCGGGCGTCAAGCGCCCCGAGCACTTCAAGCGTTGATCCTTACGTTAGTCGTGATCGTTCGAGAGGGGGTCTGGATTGCCTGGAAGGAACTCATGGGCCTTCTTCAAAGTGGGCTGAGTGGTACCTTGCTTTTCTGGCCGCATTTTCATCCGGATCAACCATAAATATTGATGCCCTAACTTCTTTGTTTTAAAACTAGTAACTGAACCCTTGCGATGCATGCCTTTTTTATGTTAATAAGAGTAGTAATTCTCCCCATACGTTACACGAGGCATCATTAACAAATGGATGAAAATAATTATATTATTCAAAAATAAATTTGTAATAAAAAAGCATTACATCTGAAGTTGCAAAACCAATTCCAGTATTAAACATAGTCAAAATTAACCATCATAGGTCATGAATGAATGAACTTCTTTTACCAAAATAAAAATAAAAATCCGAAGTGGCATCCATTAACAATTAGCTCAAGCAACAATCTTGAGTCTGATAACCTAAGTGTCATTATAAAAGGAGAAGGAAAAATGGTCTAACCAACTGCTCTATTCTTCGATCGACTGTCGCGATGTTTGACCTATTGAAGGTCCTTACGGGCCCACTTCAACCGATTTTGCTAAGGTATATATATATTCGATTTTTCACCAGCTAAAACTTTAAGATAATAATATAATTGAATATTTAATGATATAATAAATATTTTAACACTTCAAGAAATTTTATATTTTGAGTTTTTATGAGATTTGGACCGAATTATAGACAAAATGGAGATTCGTAAAGTAGAAAATAAGTATAGCAAGTTGTTAAATTGTTAGTTTAGTGACAATGTATGTTATGTCGCCCATGTACTCTTATATTTTCAAATTCATTGCTTCACATTGCTCCGAAAGCGAACAACAAAGATCTACAGTGTTTGTATGTTTAATTGTTTTCGAGATATAGATTGGATTAAGGACAAAATAACTCAATTAGTAAATTAAAATTTCATTCCATTAACCTATTAATATGTTATTTACTTATTTCAGTGATAATATGTTCTCTATACATAACTCTCTCATCTAAAATTCAAGCTCGATCGTATATTGAATTGCATTCAAAATCCAATAAAAAGGATCTTTAGCTCTTATGCTTTGAATTTTTTTGAGATTGGATTGAATCATGGATGAATTGGGTTATTTTAGTTATGTAAAAAATCGATCTAGTAAGATTTTATGTATCGGTTTAGTAAAGTTAAGCTTCATAAAATTAAGATGGCGCGTGGGGTCTTTTGAAAACATGGCACACTTCTTACGAAAATTAATGTTACCTTTTTCATCTTACGAAAAATAATACATAACTAAATCCATCTCAATAACTATATTTGAAATAAGTTTTCAATTTTTCCTTGAAATAATTATGAATTACGGATATTATTATAAGACTTGAGAGTCGACGTGGTCAAGAAATGAGTATAACTCCATTAAAAAAAATAGTATAAGTGATCTACGTCAAATCTTCTCCAAAAACATCAAATATAAGCAGGGATTGTTATATATCGTAATAAACAAGTATTAGGACGCCGGAACTTGGTCCCGGTACAAACCTCCGACGACGCTCAAGTATGTTCTTGAATATCACATAATAAAGTTTGAGGTTTTCAGAATATAATTAATGAGTGTAAAAATGAAGATTACCTAAGAATTAATTGCTTATGTACCTACAATTAAGTCTATAAATTCTGGTTCCGATCCTTTGATCTTTATGCTACAAACGGAAGAGTATGCAGGGTTTCAAGATTAATACTTTCATATCCACAATAACAACTCCATTTAATTTTATTTGGATGATTTCTCCTTCAATGGATTTTAAAATTAACTCTAGTTTTTAAATTGTGATCAGTTTGAAATCCGAATCTTTTTAATTAGAAAGTATCTTAAATCTTTCAATTTCAAATCTTTCAACTCCAATTGAAACCTAAAACTTGATTGGTAAAATCAATTTGCAAAAAAAAAAAAATACAAGTCAGATAACAATAGAACAAATTAAACAAAGACCAACAACAACAATAAATCTTGATTGTCTGAACTTCCATACAATTAATTCATACAAATCGGCACACAACAAAAATCCACAAATCAAGAAACTCGAAAATAAAAATAAAAATAATAATTTATTGAATTAATCGAAAACGAGGGCCTTGGATTTGCACATGGGGCACTCGTTCTTCCTCAAAAGCCAATTCTTGATGCACTCGACATGATAAACATGGCCACATCCGAGGGTTGCGATAACCTTTTCGGTTTCTCCAAACAAACCGTCGAGGCAAACAGCACACACTTCTTGTTCATAATCTACGGCATCGATTTCCACGGAAGCCCTCGTTCTCAGATTCTTGACAATCGTTTCCTCCGACAGCTCAGCGACAATTGTTCCCTCCGACAGCTCAGCACTGTTATTATCACCGAAAGTCATGTTATTACCACCACCTTCTTCTTCTTCCAAAAATCGTATTAGGTTTTCGTCGTTTTCATCGAAAAAGAAACTGTCTTGGTAATAATCATCTTCAATCTGGTGTGATAAAGAAGATGGATCAAATCTGGGGTAATTCGGGATAAAACCAGGACGATCGACGGGGATAAGAACCACCGGCACCATATGGGCGTGTAGACGCCGCCTCATGATTTCTTGAAGCTGATCCGGTGTTTGAGGAACTGTTAAGTGTATATTTTTACACTTTATCGTATCTTTTTATTTGAGCTTTTGGTGTGTTTTAACGATAATTGGTGCTTAAAAAGTTGATTTATTGTATTTTAGGTACAAATTGAAGAATTGGAAAAGTATGGGGTCAAAACTGCAATTTTGGCGAAAATATGGGTCAAAAGTGAAAATATCAAAATTCTGAAGAAACAAGGCTCGGACCCCCGTCCCAGTTTTAGTGCAAATTATGGGACCCCCGTCCCATACCCCGAAGTTGCGCAGTAAAGGGATTTTAATTGCACAAGGAAACTGCCTTCTTCCCCAAGTTCTTCACCCTATATAAGACCAATCCAAGCACACAATTAGGAATCTTTTTACGCAAATTCAAGAGCAAAGAAGATCAACGAAGATTCAAGCATAGTTTTTCTTATTTAATTAATTTATTTTATTTTATTTATCATAAGAATTACGAGTAGCTAAGTCTTTATTTCTAGGATTTTATTTGGAACCCTATGTGGGATTTATGAACCCAATTCTATGATTTTATGCAAGTTTTAATTCCGAATTATTTCTTCTACTTGTTTTAATAAGTTCATGAAACTGGCCACTTTATGCGCTTTTATGTTATTGTTAATCGCATGAATCGGAAGATCGGGTTAATAATTAGAACTGTGGTAGAAGAGCCTTTGTGGTATTAACATAGGAATATAGTTAATCTCTTAGGTAGCCATTATTGAGATTTGTGCTTAATGTTGTGTTCTAGAATTAATTGCATAGGAATATAGTAATTGAATCTAGAATATTAGAATTGTAATACACGCGGAAGCGGGTTATGATTATTTTAGCATCTCAGGTTAATAATCCGGGTTAATTGTTTGCATAATTGAAGGAATTGGGGGAATAATAATCACATAGGGGGAAGAATAAAATCCTAGACTCGTTTACTCTGATAAATCTTCGTGTTTAATTTGCTTTCTTGCTTTGTCGTTTTAATTTGCTTTTTAATTTATTTTAGTTAATTCCCTCTAAAGTCGACTGTGTAGGGTGGGCTTGATAATAATTGGTAGAATTTAGCGTCTAGGATTAGATAATTAAATATTCCCTGTGGGTTCGATATCCGGACTTAATTGTCCACTATATTACTTGTACGATACGTGCACTTGCGTGTAGGTTTTCGACCAACAAGTTTTTGGCGCCGTTGCCGGGGGATATTTTAATTATTTATTTTATTCTAGCTCTAAATTTGAACAATTTTCACGATTCACCCAAATTATTTTTTTATTTTTTCGTTTTAATATATATATATTTTTTTTCTTTGGTTACATGTCAGGTTACAATTTTCGCGCAACTCAAACGGGATATGAATGGCTTCCGTCTGGCGAATACCTCCAAAATACCTATAATATGCCGTTGCTTTGTTCAATATGTGGTGGAGAACATTACGCTAACCAATGTTGGTATGCACCGAAGGCGAATAATTTCATAGATAATACCAACAGAGGTTACTGGAACACATACACCAACACGTACGAGCAGAGCAATTCAAGCCAAGATTTCCACAATTTTCAACATCGTGAGCCGCAATTTGATGATTTTCAAACCTATTATGCAAAGCCACGAGAACCCACTATTGAGGAGTGTTATAGGAAATCCATCCTTGAAGATTTTATGAAATCCACTCAAGCATCTATCCGAAGACTTGAAATAATGTTGGAAGAGATGAAGCTCAAGAGGTCTCTTGAAAATATTTCAGACAATATCGAGAATGGTTGCAACAAAGAAAATTCGTCTGAAACTTGTGATGAGAAAAATCCTTTAGACCTAGAAAATAGTGTCGATGAGAGGGAAAAAGAAATTACGAAGACACTTGAAGATGATGAATCAGACAATGAAATCGAGCTCAACTCCAAAGATGTCTCGGAACAAGAGAAGAATGAGATGGATGTGGTTAATGCAAATATTCAAATTGATGATCTTATTGTTATTCCTGACGTGGCTTTGAAGGCATCAATAGAGGTTGATAAGAAGGCGAATGTGTTTGAAGTGGAGGTTATACGCGGACGTGAGGTTTTTGTTTACCGATTTAAGGGAGCGGGTGATGAAGATCCCTACTTGGCTTCGTACCGATTGATTACAACTAAGAAAGACTACAAGCTAAGGTGGACCCTGACATATTGCAATCCTATCCCTGTATCGGTTGCAATTGAAGTGACAAAGCTCATGGATGGATGCGCAATCTACAAGGCTTTGGATTGGACATAACAATTTCAAGAAGCAAAGTCCGGCTGAAGACTTAAAATTTAGCGCTTCTCGGGAGGCAACCCGAGCTTTATTATTTTTCGTAGTTTTCTTTGATTTTTCGTTTCGTTTTTATTTTCATAGGCATGCATTCTAATTAATCTATTTGAATTTTAATTTTCAGGGTCGAAAACATGGTCAGGGGGTCCAGACGGCCGTCCGAAATTTCAAGCAAAATCTCAGACGGCCGTCTGGGAAACAGAAAGCCCCAAACGGCATCATTGCCTGTGGGACGGCCGTCCGAAAATAAGGCACAAACATGGGACGGCCGTCCCGTGAACAGTGGGGAGACAGAGATGTCGGACGGCCGTCCGAAAATCAGCACAAAAACCGGGACGGCCGTCCGACGATTTTTAGGGCGTTTTAACTTTAAAAAAATTAGATTTTCTCCCCCATTGTTTCCTAAACCCTCCTCTTTCCTTCTCTCAAACTCTCACACACAAAAGGAAGCTAGAGAATCAAACCAAATTCTCCAAAATCTACTCTTTCAAGGCACGCCCACAAGGTGTTCGATAATTTGCTCCAACCAAATTTTGAGTTCGATTGTCAACCAATTCTCAACGAATCTATTCCAACCTCTCTCCCAACTATTGTTTCCAACAAAAGAAGCCGCACGAGTGAAGCTTCATCTTCTAAAGGCAAAGGGAAAGGTAAGAAAAGTGCCACCAAAACGACGATTCCTCTTCCAAAGCCGCTCCTCAAGCCCGAGACGACCCCGAAGCCTCAAGCTCCCGTGCCGATCGACGATTCCGAATGAAGATGGAGCGAGAGAGCTTTCCGATGAGAGAGCTAGGGAGGAGCACCCCGATCACATCGACTCCGAATAAATCAGGTGTTTTCTATCCTTAAAACTTTGTGCTAATTTCGTTGAGGGCAACGAAAATTTTAAGTTTGGGGGTGACAAACATGTTATTTTTGTGCTTATTTTTTGTTTTAGTTTGCATGCATTAGGTTTTATTCGTTTTTATTGTTTTTCTCGTTTTTCCGGAATATTAAAAAAAAAAAAAAAAAAAAAAATTGCTTGAGTTGAATGCATCAATGATTTGTGATGATGAGAGATGATCAATGTTTGATGATGAAATTGCTTGTTTTGTGTGATAAGGATTTGATGTTTGTTTAGCTTTCGATTCAACGGGACTTAGAAGCGAATTATTGCTAGGAATCACATTTTGTGCATTGATTTGGTTGAATCTTTTGTATTTTAAATTTGGAATTAATTTGTGCTATATCATGCTATGTTTGGTTTTAGAACTCACCTTAGGAAATTTATGATACGAAGTATTGAGTAGTGAGTGATTTGGGATATGATTTGGGCCTTCTTTGAACCGTTTGAGCCTTTCAAGCCGACCTTTTTATCGAAATTATCCTTAGAACCTTGATTTGAGCCTCGGAGAAAAGGTGTTCTTTCTTTTAGCCAATGTGTAAGGTAGAATAGGTGGAGATTCTTGAAAATTACCCCTTGGAGTTCAGTCAAAAAATTTTATAAGGTTCTTCTTCTTCTTTGAAAAAAAAAAAAAAAAAAAAAGAAAAAAAAAAGAAAAGAAAAAAAAAAGAGATAAATATATATGCTTCTATATATATATATATTAAATAAAAAAAAAAAAAAAAAAAAAAAGAAAAAAGAAGAAGAAGAGACTAGAAGGGAGAAATAAGGACTAGTTGGTGAATTATTTTTGAAAACTCGACCCCTTGTCTCAAAAGAAAAAGTGGAGACCTTTGAACTTTTGAGAATCGAGTTTACTAAAGTCCGTAGAGGTGAATTCATTGTTTCAAACGCCTATCTTTCAAATTTTGGCGTAATCACCTAAATTCAAGAAGAATAGCCACACATACCCATATTTCCTACCTCGAACCAAAGAGCCTAACAATTGAAAGCCACAAAGCCCCAATGATCCCAATAGCTTAATGTTCGATATTAGTAGAGTAGAATAATTTGGTGAATATTTGGAGTCAAGCATATGCATGTAAGTATAAATTCTTTCTATCTTTAATTTGCAAATATTGGATGCTTGAAGCAATTGTATGAATTGTGGTTTTTGGTAATGGTGAGTGACTAAGTGTTGTTGAATTTTGAGTTTGCGAATGCCTAAGAATTGTCATTATAATTACAAGTTCTGAAAACGTGAAGTTGATCATTGATCTATGTGATGAGATGTTATCGTTGAGTTATTTGCTTATTGGTAGATTTTGCTTGAGGACAAGCAAAAGTTCAAGTTTGGGGGTGTGTTAAGTGTATATTTTTACACTTTATCGTATCTTTTTATTTGAGCTTTTGGTGTGTTTTAACGATAATTGGTGCTTAAAAAGTTGATTTATTGTATTTTAGGTACAAATTGAAGAATTGGAAAAGTATGGGGTCAAAACTGCAATTTTGGCGAAAATATGGGTCAAAAGTGAAAATATCAAAATTCTGAAGAAACAAGGCTCGGACCCCGTCCCAGTTTTAGTGCAAATTATGGGACCCCCGTCCCATACCCCGAAGTTGCGCAGTAAAGGGATTTTAATTGCACAAGGAAACTGCCTTCTTCCCCAAGTTCTTCACCCTATATAAGACCAATCCAAGCACACAATTAGGAATCTTTTTACGCAAATTCAAGAGCAAAGAAGATCAACGAAGATTCAAGCATAGTTTTTCTTATTTAATTAATTTATTTTATTTTATTTATCATAAGAATTACGAGTAGCTAAGTCTTTATTTCTAGGATTTTATTTGGAACCCTATGTGGGATTTATGAACCCAATTCTATGATTTTATGCAAGTTTTAATTCCGGATTATTTCTTCTACTTGTTTTAATAAGTTCATGAAACTGGCCACTTTATGCGCTTTTATGTTATTGTTAATCGCATGAATCGGAAGATCGGGTTAATAATTAGAACTGTGGTAGAAGAGCCTTTGTGGTATTAACATAGGAATATAGTTAATCTCTTAGGTAGCCATTATTGAGATTTGTGCTTAATGCTGTGTTCTAGAATTAATTGCATAGGAATATAGTAATTGAATCTAGAATATTAGAATTGTAATACACGCGGAAGCGGGTTATGATTATTTTAGCATCTCAGGTTAATAATCCGGGTTAATTGTTTGCATAATTGAAGGAATTGGGGGAATAATAATCACATAGGGGGAAGAATAAAATCCTAGACTCGTTTACTCTGATAAATCTTCGTGTTTAATTTGCTTTCTTGCTTTGTCGTTTTAATTTGCTTTTTAATTTATTTTAGTTAATTCCCTCTAAAGTCGACTGTGTAGGGTGGGCTTGATAATAATTGGTAGAATTTAGCGTCTAGGATTAGATAATTAAATATTCCCTGTGGGTTCGATATCCGGACTTAATTGTCCACTATATTACTTGTACGATACGTGCACTTGCGTGTAGGTTTTCGACCAACAGGAACATCGGCGGCGGCAGGAGGAGGTGGTGGTGGTGGCTGGTGACGGTGGACGGTGTTTGAGGGAAAAGGGCCGGCGGCGAAGGGCTGGAGATGGGGTGGACAGCGGTTGTATGAAGCACCGGACATAATTGGCGGCTTTGCTTTTTTTTTTTTTTGTGTCTGGTTTTTTTTTTGATTGAGAATATGAAAAGGGTTAGTGCAAAAACCTAGGATGTTTATATAAAGCTGTAGTAAGAACTTTCCAACGGTCCTTTTATATCTCCTAATTGTTTTAGAAAACCGTATTTCCAATAAAAAAAAATAATAAACCCTATTTGTTTGTACAAGGTAAGTGTTGGAATTAGCTGTCCGAATTTCAAATATAAGATCCCCACTTCTAGATTTTATTAGTTATACATATTCCTTTTTTTTTTTTTAGAAGAGTTTTACATATTTAAAATATATGCAAATTTTATCCGAAACATTGTAATTATGAGTTAAAGTTTTCTTTCCAAAAAACCAATTCTTGTCCCTGTCCAAATTCTTTTTTTTCTTTTTTTTTTTTTAATTTTTTAAATTAAAAAAAAAAATTAACTTAAAACAAACATTAGATTACTATTTCGAAACAACAGTTTTGTATATGGATTACGACAGTTACGGTGATAAGTTTACGATATATTACATTCCAAAATATTGTTCAAAAAGCTCGAAGTGATGTTCTGCGGACGCAAAAAAAAAAAAAAAAATCTCATTTTAGCAGGGGTACCAGTGGTTGCGTTGATTTTCCTGTACCCAAACTAGACTGTGACTGTGTTGATATTAATTAGTCAACAAGAGAGTCGGTTTCAATAAACAATCGTTTTATTTCAAAGGTGGTGTATGCAAAAGCTTATTTAAAAACATAAGTTGTGGATTGTGTGTTATGTTGATTTTAAGGGTTTATTTCTAAAAGTTGGGGTGTTTGCAAATTTACTGTAAAATCAAATTAAACAGAAAAAACAGGGTTATAAGTGCTTAATAAATTATAGCTTAAAGTTGATTAGTTTAAGAGAAGCAAAAGCAAAAGTTCATTTTGCAAACACTTGTAAATAGATTATGAGTAAAAAAAAGCTCATAATCTAGGGTAAATAGCATAAAACCCGGGAAATCTGCGCCAAATCCCAATGTATTTTTTTTCTTGCGTAAAACCCCCTTGTATTTTAATTTACTTTGCACGAAATCCCCTTTTCCGTTACAAGTTAACGCTGTTAACTATAGAGGGGATTTTGTGCAAGTTTGTTGTAACATAGGGGGATTTGGCGCAAAGTTAACGCTGTTAACGGTGTTAACTTTTAACGGAAAAGGGGATTTCGTGCAAAGTAAAATAAAATACAAGGGGGTTTTACGCAAGAAAAAAAACACACGGAGATTTGGCACAAATTTTCTTTTACACAGTGGGGTTTTATGCTGTTTACTCTCATAATCTATTTGTAAAAGTTTTTGCAAACACCACCACAGTCTTTAGCTAAGTAGATTATGTGCCATCCTGTAACGCCCGTAATTCAAGCTATTGAAAGATGTAATTCCAATAGTTCTAGTAAAAGCAGCCACAAATTTGACGTTATAATCGTGAATGATTCCTCCAATGCCAGCTTGTCCTAGTTTGATCGTGACGCACAGTCAATTGTACGTTGAATGTATACCAGTTAGGGGTCCATTGAAATTGTAGATTATGATAATTCGGGTTTTTATGTTGCACTTTATTACAGATTCCTTCCGTGGCTGAGTTCCGGATTCGTTCGAAGCAAATCAGGTTGTTTTCAAATATAGCTTTGTTTATCGCTTTCCGAATTAGCAAAAATAAAGCGGCAATTTGTTCTTGCATGTTGTTGATTCTTTTAAGATCATAAAGGTAACTAAAGAAATCTAATTTTTGAACAACACAATATACGTCTTAAAAATATAAATATAAAATAAATATAAATATAAATATAAATATAAAATATATTTATATTTATATATAAAATATATAAATATTTTATATTTATATATAAATATAAAATAAATATAAAATAAAAATATAAAATAAATTACCATTGATCCATCCTAAAATTGCACTGGCTCATCGGGTGGTTGTTGACAGGAATAAGTTTATAGAGCAACTGGGTCTGTTTGCACTGCAAAAAGAAATGAACTAGACTGATGCTGAAATTAGTACTCAGACGGTTAAGTCAGTAGAGAAAGAGACAATTTCAAAGGTAAATTTTTAGTAGCTAGTGATGGTAAAAGAGATATATAGATGAACCTCCCTATACAGTCTGCATATGTGACCCTCTATTTATAATACCTCGGCCTATGCCTTGCATGAATCCTGGACGAGTAGGTATACTCCGCCGCTCTTCCCTTCTCCCTATCTTTTTTGAATAACCCGAGTTATCATCATCCTCGAAACGGCTGCAACCGCTCTTCCATGATTAACACGAGTAGTCTAATCCGTACGTCTCTCTACTTCAGTGAGTTTTTATCATTCGGGCATTAAATGTTGGTGTCAGAGCATTTAATGTGTTGATAGGAGCAAAAAAATGATTTCATTTAGTTTCGAGCACTGATCTGTTTCTGCAATTTTTTTTTATTCGACGACAGTGGTCTTGCCGGAGCTTTATTTTGTGTTCCACCCGTCGAAATTTGACGGGCCACCCACCGCTGGATTCCTCTCGCCGAGATCTATATTTTGATGGTAATTTCGTTTATTTTTATGTTTTCAGATTTATTTCTATATTTTTTTGCATTTGTGGGCGCGCAGAACCGTGGATGGTTATTAACGGCGTCAAGGGTTTTGGTAGGAGGCGAGGGGGGTGAGGAGTCACTGTCTGTTTGATTTAAAATCTGTAGCATTTCCCAACAATAACCTCTCTCTCTATCTCTCGATCTCTTAGTGTTTGTTGATTTTTGAGTGTTTTGATGTTTCTTCAAATTTTGTTGTTTTGCACTAAAGTAATTTTTTTTTGTTTTGATTTTGCAATTGCAGCTTAATGAAGGCCATTGATCCTTTCCTTGAAGGTGTCAAATTTTTTACAAGGTAAGTATTCCTAAAAAAAAAAAAGAATAATAAACCCAATTTGTTTTTACAAGGTAAGTGTTGGAATTAGCTGTCCAAATTTCAAATATGAGATCCCCACTTCTGGATTTTATTAGTTATACATATTCCTTTTTTTTTTCTTTTCTTTTTTTTGAGAAGAGTTATACATATTTCGAATATATGCAAATTTTATCCGAAACTTTGTAATTATGAGTTAGGTTTTATTTCCAAAAAACAATTCTTGTCTCTGTCCAATTTAAATTTTTTTTCTTTTATTTTTCTTTTAAGTTTTTTAAATTTAAAAAAAAAGAAAATTTTGATATATGGATTACGACAGTTATGGAGATAAGTTTAGGGTATATTACATTCCAAAATATAGTTCAAAAAGCTCGGAGTATTGTTATAAAAAAAATATGGCGTTCTTCTATGACGCAAAAAAAAAAAAAAAAAAAAAATCCTATTTTAGCTGGAATATCAGTGGTTGCGTTAATTTTCATGTACCTAGACTAGACCGTGACTGTGTCGATATTAATTATTCAACAAGAGAGTCAATTTCAATAAGCAATTGTTTTATTTCAAAGGTGGTGTTTGCAAAAAAATATTTAAAAGTAGAACTTATGGATTGTAAGTTAAGTTAATTTTAAGTGTTTATTTGTAAAAGTTGGGAGTGTTTGCAAATTTACTGGAAAATTAACTTAAACAGAAAAAAACAAGGTTATAAGTGCTTAACAAATTATAACTTAAAGTTGATTATTTTAAGAGAAGTAAAAGCAAAAGTTCATTTTGCAAAACACTTAAAAATAGATTATGAGTAAAAAAAAGCTCATAATCTAGGGTAAATAGCATAAAACCCGGAAAATCTGCGCCAATCCCCATGTATTTTTTTTTCTTGCGTAAAACCCCTTGTGTTTTATTTTACTTTGCACGAAATCCCCTTTTTCCGTTAAAAGTTAACACTGTTAACTATAGAGGGGATTTTGTGCAAGTTTGTTGTAACATAGGGGGATTTGGTGCATATGTTCTACAATGCTAGGGGATTTTATGCAAAAATTAATTTATTTTTTTAAATTTCATATTATTTTCTGAAATTAAGTCGAACACATTTATTCAGTTACAATTAATATGAAAAAGAAAAATTTAATAGGTGTGGTGAATGTATTTAAAAAAACTCAATTTTTATATGATATAATTTATTAATGTATGAAGTTTGATTTTTTAATTTTATAATTATTGTATTAGAATTATTAATTTAATTTTATAATTTGTTCGTGATTAATTACATCTGAAAAGAACATAAATAATTTGAGAATTCGTTCCAACTTCCATCTCGAGTATTGTTTTCTTAGTTTCATATTTTAAATTTATAGATATATTAGACTTGATTTAAGAAAATAATTTAAATTTTAAATGAATAAATTAATTTTGCGTAGACCCCTCTTGTGTTGCAAATTAATCATACACCAAATCCCCCGATGTTACAAAAAACTTGCACAAAATCCCCTCTATAGTTAACTTTTTACGGAAAAAGGATTTTTTTACAAAGTAAAATAAAACACAAGGGTGTTTTACGGAAGAAAAAACACACATGAGGATTTGGCGCATATTTTCCTAAACACAAGGGGGTTTTATGTTGTTTACCCTCATAATATATCTGTAAAAATTTTTGCAAACACCACCAAAGTCTTTAGCTAAGTTGATTATATGCCATCCTGTAAGCCCCGTAATTCAAGCTATTGTAAGATGTAATTCCAATAGTTCTAGTAAAAGCAGCCACAAATTTGACGTTATAATTACGAATGATTCCCCCAATGCCAGTTTGCCCTAGTTTGATCGTGAAGCACCGTCAATTGTTGAATGTAAACCAATTAGGGTTTCATTGAAGTTGGAGATTTTGATAATTCGGTTTTTTCCGTTGCTCTTTTTTACAGATTCCTTCCTTGCCCGAGTTCTGGATTCGTTCGAAGCAAATTCGTTTATTTTCAAATATAGCTTCGTTTATCGCTTTCCGAATTAGCCAAAATAAAGCGGCAACTTGTTCTTGCATGTTGTTGATGCTTTTAAAATTGTAAAGGTAACTAAAGAAATCTAATTTTTGAACAACACAATGT